GGTGTAAACGGTCTTCCAATTGGTGTTTGTTCAAATGTCACATAACTGGCTTGTTGCATAGGCTGAAGTCAATGGAAGAGCAGGTACTAAGGCAGCATGGATATGATGTTGAAAGGCAGTGACAGGAAACCCAGAGAATTGGTGAACAATTTGTTTTTGAACCAGAGGAAGACATTCAGTGGAGTATCGCAAGGGTTAGAGCTTTTTGGTATATGTCAGTTATCCTTGATTTGTGCACACCGGGCACAGTTTTAAAATTTGCCAGTGGAACAAAACTTGGAAATACTTCAAACTTTGAGGAAGATGGTACTAAACGCCAAGGGAACCTAGGCCCAGCTGAGTGAATGGAAAGTAATGAACGTAGTTGAGCAGGTTGGGAAAGTGGTTAAAAAGACTCATAAGATCCTTCATTTTGTAAATACAGTCGTAGAGTTCAAAAGCAAGAAATATTATGTTAAGCTGTCTGTTTAAGTAAGATTGAATGTGCAACATTCTTTGCTACCCTAAAGATAAGAACATTTCTTACTAATTAGTTATTTCTCTTAAGTTTTTTCTAATCAATCAGTTATAACACTGCAAGTAGGTTTTAATTAAGATTCTTCAAGATAATCGTTGATATAGATTCCAAAGTGTTATAGAAAGATACCCAAAACATTAGAAAGGAAAGGTTAAAAACTAATTTGGAGTAATAGAGAGGGGCCTCCCTATCACTTATCAAGCAGAACAGTTAAGAGAGTTGGAATGGTGGGAAATCTCAAAGAAGACTCTGTTACAGTCGTGTACAAAATAGCAGACACAGTTGAGAGATAAAAGGTCACAAGTGACCATGGAGAGTTCAGTTTCCACCGTACCAAAAGGGCCCATTCACATCACAGCAGCAAGACTACTACTTGAATGATGTACTGGAAACCCAATCATATTTGAAGAACCCAGCACTAATTAACCAATAGTATATAAGGGGTGGGGGACCGGTGCGGCAGGAGTATGTGCCGCTATGTTAATGTTACAAGAAAAATATTTAAAAGGCAATGTAATTGTATTTAAAAATTAGAACATCATTGACTTTTCTTCCAATTTGAGCTAGAGATTAAGGGGGTGATTGGGCCCTCACATTGAGGCCAGATTCTGGGTAGTCCTGTATTGTACCAGTGAAATGCATGAATAAATTACCATGTGCCTCGAACTCTGTTGTCTCCTGAAAATTTATTACCTCCCTAAACTCATTGCAATACCAGCACAAACCTCAGCTGGAGGATTCCGTCCCATTGCAAACAGTGCACTTTAGGAAAGATGGGAATCAGAGAAAGTTTACAGCCCGGTAGAGGCCTTTTAGCCTTTTGTAAGCCTTAGAGAAGTATTTAAACCTTAAGAGAGGTTATTTACAAGAACAGAGCCATGAATGAGGAATTCCATTACATGGCTAAATCGGAGAATCTGGGTCTATTCGCCTTAGAGTAGAGAAGGTTGAGAGATGATTTGCTAGGGTTGTTGAAGGTCCATTGATGGAAGGGGTGAGAAAAAGAGGACACCAATATAAGTTAGCTGGTGAAAGAACCAACAGTGACACGAAGAGAAACTGCTCTTACACAGTAAATGTTTACTCTCTAGAATGTACTACCCAAGAGGTAGAGTCAATCTGGGTTTCAAAGGTATTTTCAGAATTGGCTGAAGAGAGGAAGATTTCCAGGGTTATGAACAAAGAGCTGCTGCTTGGGATTAGCTGATTTATTCTCCCAGAATGGACAGGAAAAATCAAACGTCTTCCTTCTGTGTGACATCAACAAAAGGAGGTGATTCACCTTTTCCAAAGATGTTCCACTGTTAAATTTGACCATGGTTGCTCTGTATTTGAACTCCTTTCTCCTGCATTAGTACTGTAATCCCCAATACCCTTGCTTACTGAAAATCTAGCCAGCTCAGTTTTGGACTTTTCAATTGTCCACTTCAATTGAGGAAACAATGGCCTAGTGGCATTATCACTTGAGTGTTAATCTAGAGACCCAGGTAATGTTCTGGGACCTGGGTTCAAATTCTACTACAGCAGATGGTGGAAATTCAATAAAAATCTGGAATTAAGAGTCTAATAATGATCATGAATCTATGGTCAATCTTTGAAACAAAACCCATCTGGTTCACTAATGTCCTTTAGGGAAGGAAACTGCCATCCTTACCTTGTCTGGCCTCAATGTGACTCCAGACCCAAAGCCCTCTGGGTAATTAGGGATGGGCAATAAATGCTGGCCTAGCCATCGATGGCCTCATCCTGTGAATGAATTATTTTTAAAAAAGCTTTAGATGAAGAGTATTCTGATTTCCCTTTGTGTTAAGGAGCAGTTACTGAAACACCTCGAAAGGCCTAAATATAATTTTAAGAATATTACCCTTGTCCTGGTCACTTCCTCAAGAGGAAATAATTTTCTTTTTGATCTGATCAAACCCTTTAATTACTATGGAATCTTATTTAGATTATACTTAATCTTCTATACTCAAGGGAGGATATGTCTAATTCATTAAAGCCGTCTTCAAAATTTAACTCTTTTAGTCTTGGTATCGTCTTGGTAAATCTGTGCTGCATCCACTCCAGTATGTCCTTCCTGAGGTACAGTAGCCAGAAGGTGAACGCAGTGTTCCTGAAGGGGTCTAACCGGAATGGGAACAAACTTCAAGCTTGCTGTAAATCAGCCATCTTGGCATGTAGGCCACAGATGGAGCAGTGGAGCCAATGGAACTCCTCAAATAAGACAAGGCTCAGATTGTTTGACTGGGGAGAGAGACTCTGTTTCAGGCCCTGATCAGGCACAGGTGTTACCTTCAGGAGGATCCCTCCCTGTGGGTTCCTGGGACAAGCCACCTCCCAGCTGAAGCAGTCTGGTCCAGCCAGGATACCATACAGCCAGGTGTGGGATGGATGGTTGTAGAATCACACACACCTTTCCTCAACACTAGCTGTTGCATTTCACGCCTGACCTAATCTGAGAGATGGGTGACAAATGAGTGGGTGAGGGAGTAGGGTAATAGATGGGTGAGGGGGGTAGGAGAGTGAGAGAGTAGATGGCAGGTGGGTGAGGGGTTTGGTGTAGTAGGTGGGTGAGGGAATATGTTGATGAGGGGTTGGGGGGCAGGCAGGCATGAGGTTATGTAGAATTTATAAGGAGGAACTGTCTCCATTGGCAGGAAGGTCAGTATACTAAAAAATACAATGTTATGGTGAATGACACAAAAACTGGAGTGAACCCACTCCCGACCCGAAGCGTTAGCTTTCCTGCTCCTCTGATGCTGCCTGGCCTGCTGTGTTCATCCAGATCCACACTGACTCCAGCGTCGGCAGTTCTTACTAGCTCTGAGTGAAACCGAAAGAATTTTTTTTAACTCAGCATTTTGTTATGATTTGGAATGTGCTGTCTCAAGATTAAAGAATAACTTGCAAATGGAGAATTCAAGAAATAGCAAGAATGGGAGAAGTTGACCACATCTCCATCGACAGCATCTTCTTATCCCAAAGCTCTACCGGACAGAGGGCAACACAGCAGATGCATGGGCACACCACTGCCACCTCCAAGGTCCTCTCCAACACACAACTATCTTCCCTTAGAAATTTGTCATCGTTCCTTCACTGTCACTGGGTCAAAATCCTGGATTTCCATCCCTAACAGCATTGTGGGTCTACCCACAGCACATGGACTGCAGCGGTTCAAGAAGGCAGCTCACCCCCACCTTCACCTGGGTATTTTGGGATGGACAATAAGTGCAGCATTGCATATATCCCATGAGCAAATAAATAAAGTATTCCTTGCTTTGGGAAAAGAGCAGAGGAGTGACATGCATTCGATAGCTCTTTAAAAGAGCCAGCATGGTGCAATGAGCAGAATGGCCTCCTTTGCTGCTCTGGGATTCTATTACAAACCACCAGCAAATAATATTTAATGGTTTCTAATCATCTTCCTTGCTCTTATAGCCAGGGTATTCAATAGTTCAATCTTTAATTGTGTGATTCCTTGTCCATCTACAAGCTAATTTAATGAAATTGGTTACGGTCCAACATTAACTAAGCTTGGTATTCTGAATCCGACAAAGATATGGAAGTCTACCTTCAAATATGTCACAGTTCAGGGGACATTAGGAAGGATTTACTGTGATCCTGAACCTTAACTGACCAGCTTTGCCCCAGGTCTAAGTCTTGACCATCAGCAAGAGCAGTTGTTGTAGAACAGTCTACAATGCGTTAAGAAGCCGACATTGGTCCTGGTACCTGCTCTGAATTCCTGTCAACTGCCCGCTCCAAGAGGTACATTTACACCTGTGTGTGGAATTCTGTGTCACAGACACAGTTAAGTAGCTTGCCTGGGGTCACATGTCCACTTGCGTGGAGGGCTCATTGACCACTCACTGGGGACTAGCATCTCAAAGCAGTCAGCCCCTTCAGACAAGAGGGGAGGAGGTCACAGGTCAATAGAAAAAGTGACAGTTCAAAAGACACTTACAATTCAAAGGTGTCAAGTTTTATTCAAGCCATCTTTAGATTTAGATTCTTCCTTTCAGAGAATGAGCCTGTTTTCCAGAATATTCTCTTCGAATTGATTTTTTTCTCAGTTAAATCGAGAACTATTTGGGTTTTTGTAATATCTACATATTTGGCCAACTCAAACCTAGATGATGCAATCCAAGATTTTAGCTTCTGAAAAAAGGGTTTTGTTGGACTTGACATAATATCCCCCAATGCTACCAGACCTGCTTGGTTTCTCCAGCACTTTCTATTTTCAATTCAGATTCCTGGCATTCCACGAAGGTTAGTTTTCACTTTAGTTTTGACATTTGTTTGTTTGCCCCGATATCAGAGATATGTTTCTAGCCAACTTGTTCAGGAATGTTATTACACATCTCTGACGAAGGTTGGAACTTGAACCCAGGCCTCCTAGCTCAGGATCAAAAGCACTCACCACTCCCTACATCACGTTCAGGCCCCAGCCGCTGTTTCATTTATTCTTTGGAGTATCACGTACCTTGACGAATATCCTTGGGAACCGGCCCCTTCTCCCATTCAGCTCTCCTTCCCACCAGCCGTCTTCATCTGTGCGCTTGGAATTCTTTATGATGTCCCCAACCTCGAGACTCAGCTCATCATACTGCTGGCTCTGAAAGCTATTCACAGCGATCATTTCCACTAAGGGCGACAAAACAGGAACAGGAGCAGTTAGGAAGAGAACAAATGCAGAAAGCTGGTGACTGAGCACATGAGCCTCAATGGTCATTAGATCAACCTGCACCCTGAGTGCAACTTTGCACAGCATCACTCTTATAATCCATCCTACCATCAGCGGAAACAATCTCCACTCAGTTACTTCATTAAAACTCTTCCTAATCTTCATCAGCCCCATTAAAACCTGGGAAATTTCTCAACAACCAAGTCTTACCAATTTTTATAGATGCACCAGTATCTGGATGCATCACAGCTTGGTATGGCAACTGCTCTACCCAAGACTGAAAGAATCTACAGAGAGTTGTGAACAGAGCCCAGTCCATCCCACAAACCAACCTTCCTTCCATTGGCTCCGTCTACACCTCCCGCTGTCTCAGGAAAGCAGCCAACATAATCAAAGACCCCACCCCAGTTATACTCTCTACCACCCTCTTCCATTGGGCAGAAGACACAAAAGTTTAAAAACAAGTACCAATAGATTCATGAACAGTATCTTCCCCGCTGTTATCAGACTTATGAACAGATCCCTCAAATGTTAATGTTGATCTTTCTCTGCAGCTGTAATGCTGTATTCTGCATTCTGTTCTATTACCCTGACATACTTATGTAAGGAATGATTTGTCTGGTTAGCACACAATACAACTCTTTTCACCATATCTTGGTACATGGGACAATCATAAATCAAAATCAAAATCAAAAATCAGATCAAATCCAACTAACAAGATTGGGGTGACTGACACAGTCCCCATCAGTCACCTACCTTCTGATTCTTTTTATAATTTTATAACATGTAATTATGTTGGTCAGTCATTGTAACCCCCATCCAACCTTTCGAATGTTTCCTAACAGGAAAATATAGACAAGAGGAGGCCATTTAGCCCTCCAAGCACGTTCTCTTGTTTAGTTTGATCACAGCTGCTCTGTATCTTAACTTCATCTACCTGCTTTGATTCCAAAGTCTTGTCAAAGAAAATTCTAACAATTTCTATTTTTACATTTTCAATTGGTCTCACAGCCTCAAGAGGTTTTGTGGTGATTGAATTTTGCAGATTTCCATTAGGCCTTTGGGTAAAGTTGTGCTTCCTGACCACTCCTCTACACTTACCAACTCCCACTCCCAACAACTTTGCTTTGATTCCAAGAGTAACAGGCAGGTACATGAATAAGAGATAGTAGTTCACCTGCACATCTGCTAATGTAGTATATTGTATCCGCTGTTCCAGACGTGGCCTCCTCTACATCGGGGAAACCAAGTGGAGGCTTGGGGACCGCTTTGCGGAACACCTACGCTTGGTTCGTGACAAATGACTGCACCTCCCAGTCGCGAACCATTTCAACTACCCCTCCCATTCCTTAGATGACATGTCCACCCTGGGCCTCCTGCAGTGCCACAACGATGCCGCCCAAAGGTTGCAGGAACAGCACCTCATATTCTGCTTGGGAACCCTGCAGCCCAATGGTATCAATGTGGACTTCACAAGCTTCAAAATCTCCCCTCCCCCTACCGCATCCCAAAACCAGCCCAGCTCGTCCCCGCCTCCCTAACCTGTCCTTCCTCCCACCTATCCCCTCCTCCCACCTCAAGCCCCACCCCCATTTCCTACCTACTAGCCTCATCCCGCCCCTTTGGCCTGTCCGTCCTCCCTGGACTGACCGATCCCCTCCCTAACTCCCCACCTACACTCACCTTTACTGGCTCCATCCCCGCCTCTTTGATGTGTCTGTCTCCTCTCCACCTATCTTCTCCTCTATCCGTCTTCTATCCGCCTCCCCCTCTCTCCCTATTTATTTCAGAACCCCCTTCCCCTCCCCCATTTCTGAAGAAAGGTCTAGGCCTGAAACGTCAGCCTTCCTGCTCCTCTGATGCTGCTTGGCCTGCTGTGTTCATCCAGCTCTACACCTTGTTATCTCAGGTACATGAATAAGAAAGGTTTAGAGGGATATGGGTCACACACAGGCAAATGGGGCTGGTTCAGTCCGACAAACATGGTCGGCTTGGACAAGTTGAGCCAAAGGGCCTGTTTCCTTGCTCCATGACTCTATGACATGGCACCTGATCTAAGAATTTCCACAAAAGGAAATCATTTCTCTTGATCTCATCTATCAAATCCTTTAATCATGTTAAATATCTCAAGGATATCTCTGCTGAATCTTCCACAAACAATACAAGAAACACAAGACTGATGTAGCTCTTTTAGTGAATGCAATATTCTGGTAATGATATACAAGACCCCATCTGAAACCACTACCTCTCTTCCAGTTGGAACTGATCGAAATAATCTAAGTGGGATCTGATCAAACTTTATAGTGCTTAGATGTCATTCCCTATCTCCCCTTTTCATTCCAGCTGCTTGAAATACAGGCCAACAATAAATGTCAGCAATTTGTTTTTATATCTGTTCACTAGCTTTCTGTGACTGCTGTTCATCCACAGTTGATACTATCTCATCATTTAGAAAAGGTTCTGAGCTTTTCTGGGTCCATAAGTGGCCAAATTCATATTTTGCCCATTTACTTTCACACAAACCTATAAAACAGGATCAGGAGTATGTCATTCTGCCCCTCAAGCCTTCTCCGCCATCCAATAAGATCGCAGCTGACCTGTATGTGTTTAGAATTCTACGTTTGCATCTAAGCCCATAACCTTGGATTCTCTTGTCAAACAACAATCTATCTTAATCATTTTTGTAAATTCCAGGTTCTTGCCAATATTGTATGCCAGGCAACCCTACCTTATTATTGTCAAAAGGTTTAGTCTTACAGCTCTCTATTCCTTCAGCAAATTCGTTCAGAAGTATAATGAAACACTGAGTACACATCTCTGGCTGTATCTTGCCAATCTGAGGAGTTACCCACTCTGCAACTTTGGTTACTCTTCTGAAACATGTTGTCTCCAATTCCACATACTGTCATTTTTGTTAACAGTTTCTGTTCATTTGCACTTCTTACTTTATTGTCCATAAGGAAAATTCCAAGTGGAATTTCATTTCGTTTACATTGCTTGCTTGTTAAAAATGTTTACACGACTGTAGAAAAACAAAACTAATCTATCACAGAAATCAAACTCTAATTAAATATGTATTGAAACTGTTCCATCAGAATTTGAATAATCAATTAGTGAGTGGCCCCTGAGTACACATCCTCATCCAGAGCTACAATTCCTATTAATGCTCTCACAGAGATAGATTGAAATGTATAACTGATTTATCCTGCATCTGAGGGATATTCTCTTCCTTAAATGCATCCAAAAGTAACAGTGATACACGAAGAATAAAAATAAAACTTGTTATTCATGATTCTCTTTACGTTAGTCAGAATTCTTTGAGATGAGATTTTATCAAGATAGGTCAGCCTATTAAACACCCTTCTTGCCTGGTTTAGTCATAGAGTCATACAACATGGAAACAGACCGTTCGGTTCAAATAATCCATGCTGACCACGTTTCCCAATTAATCTTGTCCCATTTTCCTGCACTTGGCCCACATCCCTCCAAATCTTTCCTATTCAAGTCCTTGTCCAGATGTCCTTTAAATGTTGTAGCTGTACCTGCATCCTCTGGCAGTTCATTGTTACTCACAAATCACTCTCAGTGTAAAAAAATTGTCCCTCATGTCCTTTTAAAATCTTTCTCCTCTCACCTTAAAAATGTGACCTTTGGTTTTTGAACTCTCCCACCCTAGGGAAAAGACACTTGTCATTCACCTTATCTATGCCCCTCATCATTTTATAAACTGCACTAAGGTCACCCCTCAACCTCCTAAGCTCCAGTGAAAAATGTCCAAGTATTTCCAGTCTATTTTTATACCTCAAGCCCTCGATTCCTGCAACATCCTGATAAATCTTTTCTGAACCCTCTCCAGCTTACTAATATCCTTCTGATAACTGGGTGCCCAGAATTAGACACAGTGTTCCAGAAGAGGCCTCAGCAATGTCCTGTACAACCTCAACCTGATATCCCAACTCCTATACTCAAAGATCTGAGCAATGAAGGCAAGCGTGCTAAACAACTTCTTAACCATACTGTCTACCTGTGATGCAAACTTCAAAGAATTATGTACCTGAACATTATTTTAAATAATCATCTCTGTACAGTTCTCCTATAACACAATAGTTGCGTTCTTTGTGCGACCTCGCACTATAGAAAATCATGTTATAGGGAAGTTGCTATAAAAAGTCACTATACCTGTACAGCAGAAAGTTTGCATTATCCAAACAGTATCCACTATTCATCAATCGTGTTATGAAACACACATTATAGCAGAACTAACTGTATCCCAAAAGGCGATTCTGCACTCTTTAGACATTTGTAGCAGGCAAGATGTTCGAAAAGGATGGAACTAAGGTGGAACTTTAAATGAAAGCTTTCTGGAAGTTCCTACGTAACATTGAGAGACACTGCCCTACAGCACGTTAGTTATCTCCACACAAAAAAATACTCAGCTAGTCTCATGAGACATTATTTTACTGTTTACAAATACAAACAGACTCTCTGATCAGTTCATATTCATCCAGTCCCTCTTATCCTTAATAACAAGTGCTCATAGGTCACTGTAGGGGCAAACAACTTGTCCTAGATACTTTCTGTACATAGATGTAACCTAGCTCAGACAGTTCCCCCTCCAAACGATTCAGCTCACATTGTCCATCCACAGGGATTGCATCTAATCCTTGCATTATATTGAACAGCACAACCTAACCTCCACAAACTCGAACCTCTTTAAGTCTGGTAAACCAGGGCATTTAGTATCTATTGAATAACCAGTGAAGCCAATACACACCAAAAATTATTTGAACAGTTTACAATTTTCCACCACAAAAGAATTGATAAAGTAACGTACTAGTAACCAGATTGGAGTTTAATGTGTACATGGTAATGACGTTACAGCAGCACAAACCAGGAATTGTTTTACTGTAACCCCACTAGAACAGAATAGCTGAAATAGATAGTGCAGTCATTAAACTGAATGGCTCATACCCATGCTTGCTGCTCTGCGATACACTTCCACTGGGCCAGCTGAGGAACAACTTCAAAGCAGCACATTTAAAAGTGCACAACTCAAAATCGAGGCGAGCATTTAAGGCGGGCTCCAGAGGTGTCTGTATTCTTAAAACCACCAAGTAACTGTGAGTCAGAATGTGCCTGGGGGAGGGCAGGCACCCACACAAACAGGTAGGACAGGTTTGGGGAGGCTATGTTAAAGCTTAAGAAAAGAAACATTTCCTGATAGAAGATGAGATAACAAGGGTCTAGGCCCGAAACGTCAGCCTCTCTGCTCCTATGACGCTGCTTGGCCTGCTGTGTTCATCCAGCCCTGCACCTTGTTGTCACTGGATGAACACATCCAGCTCTTGTTATCTCGGATTCTCCAGCATCTGCAGTTCCTACAATCTCTGAAACCATTTCCTGATAGAAAGCTGCTTTGCAAAACTGGAAAGCCGAGGGAGAAAAAATGTAATAATGATTCAGAAGAGAAAAAAAACCTTGCTTTTATGATCTTTCGATTATGCCAAAGTGCTACAGCCAATGAAGCACTTCTTGAAATATTGTCCCCACTAATTCGGGAGATGAGACAGCCATTTCTCTACACAGCAAGATCCCACACTATGAGAGTAATGACCAGAGATTTATTTTAATGATGCTAAGCTGAGGGGTAAATAAATAGTCCCAGAAGGCTGCTCTCTCATTAAAGAGAGAGAGAAAAAACTGGCAGTTATTTTACCTGAGGGTCACCTGACCTCAAGCAGGGGACAAGGTGGGACCTCATGGTGACCACAGGCATTATGGGAATTGAACCTGCACTATTGGCATCAGTCTGCATCAGAAAACCAGCTGTCCAGCCAACTGAGCTAACCAATGACCTTGATGGGTGAGAAAAGATTGGCTGCTTTTCTTCAAAATGGTGTATTGGGGTCTTTAAACATCAATCAGTAAAGCAGAGATAGTAGGAACTGCAGATGCTGGAGAATCTGAGATAACAAGGTGTAGAGCTGGATGAACACAGCAGG